ACTTGTTTACTTTTTTACATCTTAGTTTCCAGTAGGTAATAAATCATTCCAGGGCTCATCTAATTGGTCAAATGCCCAAATCAGATGTACAGTCATGTAGCAGGATCTTTGCTGAATGGCTGGATATAGATCTAGTGCTTCTAGATCTCACTGAGGGATGGGGGGGATTCCATTTGTAAGGCAAGTGATCAGAGACTTAAGGCAGCATGCAGGAGCCACTTTAGTGATCAGTACCACTCAGGCGTGTCTGAAGGAAAGGACGCTATCCGTGTTTAGCGGAAGTGTTCAAGTAAAAAAAATTGATTGACTCATTAGTTTTGTTTCATTGAAGCTCATTTTCATTATGGCCTGTTGGTACTGAAAAAAATAAAAATAATTAGTTTCATCCAGACAATTCATTTCTTTGTGGTTGGACTCGGTGCTGCCCCAACTTGTTGCTCACCACATACCAAAATAAATAGTTTTTCCAGATGATGACAAGTTAAATGTGACGCTGTTACCAAACTAAGAAAATGAAGTCTAAGGAAGTTATCATCCAGAATTATAGAAAAATGTTCCTTTAATAGAGTAGAGCAGTAAAGCTTCTGGCCTTAAAGGAAAAATCCGATCAGCGAGGAATAACCAATAGATCATTATTTACACCTTAAAACGAATACATTTCCAGTGATTTAATGAATTGAAACCATCATTTTCATTGCGATCACAGAGTCTAGGAGCGGCAATTTCCCCCCAAATATAGTAACCCCTCCCTCCTGCCATCTTCCAGCAGTGACGTCACGGTGCGGTAAGCCTAGCGCCATTCTCCCCGCCTTACAAGCTAAATCAATGGGAACTACTAGACACATCTGCAATCAACAACAATTATTGAAGATTTCCAGAGGACTTCACCATTGAAATTCACCAGAGCTATAGTGAAACTGACAATGCCCATGTGCATGGCAGCTGGATGCTGGAATACATCGGTTAAAGTGGAAAAAAAAAAAGTTATTCCACCTTTCTGATTCCTGATCCTCCACGGACGGTTTGGTTGTTGGATCGCCAACTTGAAGAGGGAGGATTTGCCATCGAACTTCTGGCCAGAGAAAAAAACACATAATCTGTAGCCAACATTTGGAAGAAGAATGTTTTTTAAGATGACTTGGATAATAGCGCGTTGCATTGGCGTAGGTTTGCATAGGGACCATAGGGACATGTCCCCATGTTTATAATTTACAGCAGTACTTGTTGCAGCAGTGGCTTCTTTTCCTCTCGCAGCTCCTCTGCCTGGTCTCTCCTGTCCCTTTCACGTAGCAGCGCATGGTTAACTCCACTCTCATTGGTTGTTCTGCCTTAGGTTCCGCCTTCTCTCTCTCTGATAGGCTGTTTTCTAGTCCGTCTGTACTTGGAGCACAAAATTGAAAATTTATTCACACTAGAATGCCGCGGTTACTACAATTAATATTAGGCTGCAAAACTAGTCCCAATTAAAAAAAGAAAAAGGAATATCATGTGCACTACAAAACAAAAACCTTTTTTTTTTCTTTTTTAAAACGAAATATTCTGAGTCAGCCAGGAGTTCTGACGACTGCTGGAAAAATTGGCAAATAAAGGCTGTAAGCCATCAACATTTCTGATTCTTAGCCACAGCCAATTAAGAAAGAAAATGTGAGGGTTTCCTTTTTACCGATATTTAGTTGCTATTACTGTTTTCATTTTTTGATGACTCTTTCAGGTATAATTATTAGCAGGTGTTATTTCTTTTATAGAGTAGCCTATAACAACAAGAAATGGGGCCTAAACATCTGCTATTTTTTGTTTAAAAAGCATAATTAGGGTTCCACATAATAATAATATTTTAATTGACTATTTATACTTCTAGAAATAGGATAAAGACAAGAACAAACAGAGGAAGAATATTAACATTGATTTTATCTTACATAGATTTCCACACAAGTAAATTAGTACAAACATTAATGTCTGGTAAAAATGCTTGAATCTGACTGTTTATTTTGGATATTATTAAATTACAGATAAGATAGTGTTATATTGTCTTTTATAATTGATAAAAGTGATTTTATATTTTAATACACTTAGGCTCATGCTCAGTGTTGTGTTTGTAGATGATGCTACTAAAAAAGAAAATATACATAAGGAGCTATTTAAACAGTCAGACAGTAAGCAATATAGGACGATGATAAAAGGTTGTGTTACATTTAATCCTTTACTATTAAAAATGTACTTATACATTATATGATTATAGGAAACACAGATATCCAGTAATAATGATGCAGGGCAGCTTGTAGGTGAAGCAGCTGCCCTTCAGTGCTTCAGGTGATGTCTAAATAAACCAGGTGATACTAAAATATTTCCTCTTGATGAGTTCTGGATGAAGAATATTGACAGACAAAAACATTTTTTTTATCTTATATATTATATATATATGTTGTATTTTTAAAATGTTGGTATAATTACTGATCTAAGTGGGTTGCTCTGTCGGAGAAAGGCATATTTTACATTTTTATTATGTTTTAGAGTCTCTATTCTCCAGTTAATGATGAATCACTCACTAAATTAGTTGACGATTATTGAAATAATCAATTAATATGATTCATTTTTTCAGTCCCAGATAAAATACATGAAATGGGCTACACAGAGTAACTACAGCCCAGATGTTCCACTTTTATAGTGAAGTTAATATTTTAATGAATGTATTATTTTTGCTTGATACAGAGAGAGAATAGTAGTTAAAAATATAAGAGTGGGGTTTAACTCTGCACAATTCTATATCTTCAGAAGAAAATACTGTATTTACCTTCTCTCTTAGTCGTTCAAATGAAACCATATTCAAAGTGGAAAACAGTCCTAATTCCACATTCATCAGAGCCGGTGATACTTCAAACATTAATAAACAGCATCTAATGAGTGTAGTGCTTATACAATTTTTATTAATGTAGCAAAATGATGCTTTTCTCTTTTAACAATGAATTCCTCTTATCAGTACGGATGCTCACACTGTGCATAAAAAAGGACATGCATATTGCATAGCACCAATGACAACCGACTGATAGTGTCCCTACCAAAGTTCAAATCAAACCTACGCCCTTGGCGCGTTGTGACAAACAGATACAGCACTGGGACTTGATCAACAGCCGATACCGCACCGTGACGTCACAAACCAGTAGGTGGCAGTAGTGTTCTTTGACAAACATTGATGCATCCAGTAAAGCACATTCACATGAAAATTACTCTGAATTAAAAACACTGATCATTTATTGAACAGGATGGAATCATTTCATAACTAAAGAACTTTCAGAAGTTTGGATTCTGAATATGAGCGGACTTCTCCTTTAACATTTTTTCTGCATTACTTTTACTTTAATACTGTAAGTAGTTCTAAAAATGGTACTTTTATAGTTTTACTGGAGTAAAAAGCTGAAATTGATCATCTTACTTCAATAAAAGTTTTTTTTAACAGTAGGATTTATACTGGAGGAATAAACATGAATACTTTGGACGCCTCTGCAGGTCAAGAGGAGCCTAGAAACATTCAGGAGCAAATAAGAACACTGCAAAAAAAATTAAATCTAAATAAGTCATTTTTTTCTTGCTATAAGTACATTTTTTTTTCTAATTGATGAGGTAAGTGAGATATTTTGCCAATGAAACAAGAGAATTTACATTTAAAATAAGAAAAAATAATTGCATTGTCTTATTAGAACTGCATATTATCTAATTATCTTATTTTAAGAGTAAAAATACTCATTCCATTGGCAAATTATCTTTTACCTACTCAGATTTATGGTAAATACACTTAATTCAAGACATTTTTGTTCATTTCTAGATGGTTTTTGGAGTGAAGACATTTTCCTGAGCTCTCTGTTCTGCTGTGCACACACTGGACTGGAAAGAAATCGAAATCTAGATAAATATTTTTTTCATAAAATAAGTGCATCTTTTCTTGGATTGAGGAAGTTAAAGAGACATCTTGCCAATGGAACAAGACAATTTACACTTTAAATAATAAAACACAATCACATTGTCTTATTTCTAGTGCAAATAATCTAATTATCTTATTTTAAGTGTAAAATACTCATTCCATTGGCAAAATATCTAATTTATCTGCTCAAATTAAGGATACATACACTTCATTTATTTCTAGATTGTTTTTCCAGTGAAGCAAAAAAAATTTATCTAAATATTTTTTTCTTAAAATAAGTGAATTTTTTTGTCTTGAATTGAGCAGATAAGAGAGTAACTTTGCCAATGCGACTGCACAATTTACATTTAAACAAGAAAAAAACAACAACTGCAGTCTCTTCTTTCAAGTGCATAATAACTAATTATTTTAATGGTAAAAGGCTCATTCTAATGGGGTATAATCTTATTTTCCTACTCAAATTAAGGGTAAATCCACTTATTTTTGCTTAGGAGGTTGCTGCAGTGTGGATTTCTCTGCAGGTTGAATGAGCAGCAGACCTGAGGTCAGGTGACTTTCAAACATTTAGGAAAGACACACAGTTTGGAGTAAAAGTTTTCAGAGTTGGAGATGAAAGCAGCAGCAGCTGTAGCCGCAGCTGTAACTGCAGCAGTAGCAGCAGCTGCAGTGTTATTCCTCACAGGCAGCAACTGCAGCAGCTTCAGTGTTATTCCTCATCTGCAGCAACTGCAGCAGCTGTAGCCGCAGCAGCAGCTGCAGTTGCTGCAGCTGTATTTTTAGACATCCAAAATTGGTGCTGTGAGGATGCACCAGCCACAGCAGCAACTGCAGCAGTTGCAGTGTTATTCCTCACCTGCAGCAGCTACAGCAGCAGCAGTGTTATTCCGCAACTGCAGCAGCTGCAGCGTTATCCCTCACCTGCTGCAGCAGTAGCAGCAACTGCAGCGGCAGTAGCTGCAGCATCTGCAGCAGGGTTATTCCTAGCCTGCAGCAGCTGCAGCAGCTGCAGTGTTATTCCTCACCTGCTGCTGCGGCTGGCGCAGCCTCAGAGCGCCTGTATAATTTAGGATGTCTAATTTGCTCTTTTAGGAGATTCCAGGAGAGGAGTTCAGAGAGGAGAGCTGTTCCGCACTTTGCCACTATGTAATTTTATCCTCGCCGCTTGTCTCTCACTTCACACAGGGCTAATACCTTTTGCCTCCCCTCTCCTTTGTACCAATTGGTCGAAGTTCAGCCTATTGTCGCCACAAGCTTCTTTTATATGTGCGCTCAGTCTGAGGCGAGGCTCTCACTCAGCTGCACAGGAGGATCCCGAGCCGCGCGCCGGCTGCGCTGTCACACATGTCCGCTGGAGCTCTGCAGCCTTAGGGGCCCCACACTTTGATGGGACCCGGAGGGCCGCTCGAATATCGTCTGATTCTTTGCAGCAGCTGTTCCCCGCCGACCATGCCACGATGCTGATGTTTCCCCTGCTGCTGTTGGCAAGTCTGCTGGATCCCGTTTGGCCCCGGGCCCGTTGCTCGCCAGGCCAGATTTGTGACCCTCGGCAGCGGAGAGACGCCGGGGGCCGCGGGGGAGTGTATGAGCACCTCGGAGGAGCGCCGAGGCGCAGGAAACTTTACTGCGCCACTAAATATCATTTACAGATCCATCCCAGCGGGAGGATAGATGGATCCCTGGAGGAAAACAACCCGTTCAGTAAGAACTCATTCTCTTTTATTGCTTTATTTAAAACTCAAGGTGACCCGCACTTCTGCGCGCTGAAACTTCTCTAAATCTTTCAAACCGCACTTTTAAATTATAAATTTAATTTGATAGAAACGCCCAGCAGCTGCTGCTACTTTTGGCTGTTTTATTTTTATTTCAGGCTTCATCACTAAAAGGTTTTATTCACTGATTCATTTCTCACTGCGTGGAAATCTCAGGCAGGATAAAAGGCGCAGACTTAACGGATGTGTTCATCTAATGAGACTGTTAAAGCGACTCTATGGCGCTAAATGCGCCTTTGATCAAAACTGCCAATAAACAGGCTACCCCACAGAGAGAAACTCAAACCCTCTCTATCACAAACTTTTCAATCAACTACTAATTCACTTATTTAAAGATTTGAAATATTTTATATATATATAGGCTATATATATATATATATATATATATATATAGGCTATATATATATATATATATATATATATATATATATATATATATATATATATATATATATATATATATATATATATATATATATATATATATATATATATATATATATATATATATATATATCACAGTAAAAATTTACAGTTTTTGGCATTTAGTTAATCATATTTAGAGATTGTAAGGGCCCTTGACTGACAGGGGGGCCGCAAACGAAGAGGAAAGATTTGTCATGCTCTATTTTTCAAATAAAAAATAGAAAATCCAGCATTGAAATGAATTATTTTTGTGTTCTCCCTTGTTTTTAAGCATTAATAAAGCATGAATATATTGACCAAAAGGTCAATGTCTGTCACCCAGAATTTTACACCAATAAAAATAAATGCATCCTTATTGGTCGGGGCCCAATATCAATTCCTGGCGGCACCACTGGTAGGACTTAAAACAAATATGCAACTAAATTAACTAAATAAATAAATAGATTGCATTTTTTTTTTTTACATATATGTACATTTCCTCAAGTTTTGACTTTATTTACTCTGTTTGTCTGCAGGCATCATGGAGATCACAGCAGTGGACGTGGGTGTGGTGGCCATAAAAGGGCTTTTTTCAGGCAAATATCTGGCCATGAACGAAAAGGGAAGGCTGTACGCCTCGGTCAGTATGCATACAGCATCCTTATACTCTTCATGTTCTCTATGTTAGAGGCTAGAACTCTATATGCACAGAGATTTGCCCCAAATGTTCCAGTTCTGATAAACTGAGCGGGATTTTAAGTCCTCAGTATCACTAAAAACTAACTGTAATTTTCTATAGTTTTGATTTCTCATTTGCTTCTTGATGAACTCTGATTTATAAGTGGATGAATTTGGAAAAACATTTCAAATCATGCTGTCTAAAGATTTAAAGTTTAAACTAAGTTATTTATTTATTAATTTTTTTGCCTCTGATGTTCAAATGGAAATGTAGAAGAAGAAAGACTCGCATAAAAAACCCCTGCTCATTCCTTCTCTCCTCTTCTTTTTTTCAGGAGGTTTTCAACAAAGAATGTGAGTTTGTGGAGCGTATCCATGAGCTGGGGTACAACACATATGCATCACGGCAACACTTCACAGAGCAGCCCCTGCCGCCGGGAACTGGTGGTGGCAACAGCAAGCGGAGAGCCACCGTCAAGAGACAATGGTACATTTCCATCAACGGCAAGGGGCGGCCACGGCGAGGCTTTAAAACGCGGAGCACTGATAAAGCCTCGCTCTTTTTGCCTCGGGTGCTAGGCAACAAGGACCACGAGATGGTGAGGAAGCTGAGGGACATCCAAGGTGCGCATCATGGGCATCAGCAGGGGCGGCGCGGGGGACGCCGCAGACGGCGGCACCGTGCTAGGAAGAGCGGAGGCCAGCAGCCAGATGACTCCGCAGACTTTTAGAGGAGGGACTTCGTCTCCTAGCGCTCTGCATCCTCCTGGATCCAGGAACTGGGCACATACTGCAGCTGGAGGAGGATGTGGGATTATGGCTTGGATTCTAAATTCCCCGACTGCTGGAATATTTTGTCGGTGTGCAGAGATGGAGGATAATTCATTCAATAAGGAAGAGAGACTCAAAGGCCACCGACTGGATGCTGGTATTCTGCCTTTATCCGTTATCCGGAGCTTTGGACAACGCCTCCTCTGCTGCACCGTCTGTTAAACTAGAAATGCAAATGTTGTGTGAAGAAGCGAGTTAAGATGCTGTACTGTCCGTCCTGCTCCCCCCGGCTGCCCTGCACGACGGCCCCCCCAGCAGCATCACAGCTTTATGTTTGTAAGAATCAAAGTAATATTTTGTTATTAACTGCTATTAATGGTTATGGATGCTGATGGCAGGACTGAACAGGGAGAAGCACTTTTTTGTCTTTTTCACATTAAGAAGCGAATGGAGATCAGTGTGAGACCGGAGCAACTGCAATGTTCTCCCCATGTGATCGTCTACTGTGTATAAACAGAAAGAAGTACTTTGTATATTTTACTAATGATATGAATATTTATTTGTCGTCTAAGTTGTAAGTTATTGATGAGACTGTTTCCACATTTCACCTGCCGCCCGCTTCCATCATAAAGAACATAATGGTACCGACCCAAAGAGGAAAAAACGAACCCTGGCTGGTTTATTACAACTTCTCCATTTCCTGATGTTCTATGAGCAGAAATGCAGCTTTTGAAGCATATTTTACATGTCGGGTCATTTTAGAATTCATCGTTTCTTCTGCTTCTGGTAAAAACCTCTTCAGAGCTTCAACTCATTTTTTATCAACTTTAAAACTAAGAACAGTTAGTGGAACTGTTACGCATTTAAAAGTCAGAAATAGGGCTGCAACTAATGTTGATTTGCAAATTGATTAAACTGTCGGTTATTTTCTTGATTAATCGATTCATTTAAATTCAGTTTATTTCTATAGCTCCAATTCACATCAAGTCATCTCAAGGCAGTGACAGTGGAGAGAAAAAACTCCTTTTGAATGGGTAGAAACCTGAGCGGCCTTAGATTAATAATCCGATAGTCAAATGTTCCTCAAAGTAGACTTTTAACAGAATTAAAACAGGGGAAAATGAAACGTTTCCACTTAAGGAGTTTTGGTTAGAGCAGATTGACAGATGAAAAAGATTTTTACCTTAAATATAAAATGTTTATATATTATTTTCTAAAATCTTGGTATAATCCCTGCTCTCAGTGGGTCGCTCTGTCAGCTAAAGGCATGTTTCAGAGTCTCTATACTCCAATTAACGATTAATCCCATTAATTGTTTCTGCCCTGGTCAGAACAGTAATTAACTACAAGACTCATTGTTCATAATTTAAAGATTCTTTAAACCAAATCTGAGGAAAACGAATGGCTTAAATGACCTATGTGGCCTAATGAGAAGAGGGCGGCCATCGTTCTCACAGAGTGCTGCACAGAGAAGACCATCGGACTTCAATTCACCGGCCGCAGCAGCACAACTCCTTTGGAAGTTCAGGTTTTGCCTTTTTCCCATCTATAGGCAGCAGCATATAAAGCCTTGTCATCCTATACCTGCAGGCAGGGGAGGCTTCCTGGCCAGAACAAAAGTTCCTCCCAGGGGGGGCCTGGGAATCGATGCCGCCTGAGACTTTAAGGCAGTTTTTTGAAAAGCCGACCAAAAGCTGCCGTGGATAAACAAGGCTGGCCCTCCTGAAAGCACAAACGGTATCATACAAAGTGTTACACCTTGCTGCACCTTGTTATGAATGCCACACTCTAGTATTACTCAGCAGGAATGCAGGACCGGAGAGAGGTGAGGGCCTTTTGTGGCCCCTGTCCGAAAGCCATCTGTCTGAGGGACGTTTCCCTCTGGGATTGCTCTCTGAATTCATCATGAAGGATTTAAGCAACAGAGCAACAGAGATCTGTAATTATCTGAGCGTTTTTATTATCTCAGTCAGTCATTTAAAACAGCAGTGGTGCTTCTTTCAACAGGAAACACATGAAGATGCTGTTTTCTTCATTATTTTGCATCCATAGCAACAGTTTGATGATCCAGATGTAAGAATCCTTTAGTGCTGAAGCTCATGCTGGTGAGCAGCGGCTGGAGAAGGGACATTGGTTTGTAAACAGTGACCTCTACAGGCAGCAATTAGTCATGTTTTTTTTAAGTTTATTTGATAATTAATTTGATTTTTTTTCTTATTTTTATTTTTGGGATCAGTTCAAAGGAATTCCATAAAAACCCAAATAATAAATTGATTTAATAAACATTTACATCTGCAGAAAACAGACAATTAGTGATTTATTCCTACGTAGAAGCCCAACCCAGCCCACCCTGCAACTTTTTGAAAGCTGGACCTCACAAACAAAGTGGCGCATCCACAAATTATTTTATTTTTTATTATGCTTTTTTTTGAAAAACAAAATGCATTTTATAAAATTAATATTTGCTACTTCATAGCACAGCAGCTATTCCAAAATATTGACTATGGAGCAAATACCATTTCTGAATCTAGTTGTCATAAATCTGTCTTCTATAAGCTTTCTTTTTGAGCTGAGAACTCAACAGACAGACGATGAATGCATGCACTGAATGCTCAGACATTTTAAGCTCCAAATTGCAGCTGCCACCCTGTGAAATTTAAAACCCCTAACCCTTGGCATAATTTCATTGCTCACCTGCAACCTGAAACCACAATTACTGAGAGCAACATAAACAACAAAATAAACAGGAAGCAGCTTCCAAATGTGTTTGTGGCTCAAAGACCAGAAAAGTCTAACTCCCACTTTGTTTAGCTTATAAAAGAAAAAGCTTGCAGAACCATGGACAGCGACGGAAAAACCTCAGGTTGTCTACGCTTTGAAAAGAAATCTCTCCAGAATCCTGGAAGTGATTCAAGCAACATTACTGTCATCTGACCAGGCGTCCATCATGGATCTGGGAGGATTTTTGTTTTTTATTAAACATCTGGTATAACCCCCCCTCAACCCCAGCCCCCACCACCACCATACCAGCGTTTTAGCAGATAAGGAATCTGAAAACTTTTACAGAGTTTTTCCAAATATTTTAGTTCACTTTTGACCAGAGGTGTCAAGTAGCAAAGTAAATACTTTGTTACGTTACCGAAGTGAAAATGTTGCATATCTATACTTTACTGGAGTACACTGCAAATATTACCTAGAAATAAGTAAAAAATTATTAAATCAAGTGTATTAACCCTTCATTTTAGAAGGTTAATGGGATGATTTGCCAATAGAATGAGATTATTAATAAAATTATTTTTAATCTTAAAATGATATAATTAGATAATATGCACTTGTAATAAGACAATGCAGTTGCTTTTTCTTATTTTAAATGTAAATTGTCTTGTTCCATTATAAAAGTGTCTCACCTACCTCCTCAATTCAAGATAAAATGACTTGTTTATATTTCCATTTTTTGCAGTGTAATTATTTAAGACAACTTTTTACTTCTACACCTTATATTTTAAAAATAGTTTAATAGCTTTATTTCATTTAAGCTCATTTTCATTATGGCCTGTTGGTATTTAGAAAAATAAAAACCATCAAAAATAATTAGTTTAATTCAGATATTTAATTTCTTTGTGGTTGGACTCCGTGTTGCCCCAACTTGTTGCTCACCACATACCAAAATAAATCGTTTTTCGAGATGATGCTGAGTTAAATGTGACGCTGTTACCATTAGTTATAAAACAATGAAGTGTAAGGAAGTTATCATCCAGAGTTGTAGAAAAATGGTCCTTTAATAGAGTAGAGCAGTAAAGCTTCTGGCCTTAACAGTTTTTCCTGCATTACTTTTACTTTTACACTTTAATTAGTTTTAAAAATGCTACTTTTACACTTTTACTGAAGTAAAAAAGCAGAAGTTGATCCTCTAACTTCTACAAAAGTGTTTTTAAACAGCAGGATTTATACAGGAGGAATAAACTTTTTGACACATCTGCTTTTGACCAAATAATCTCAGATGGTCAAAAGGTCAACCAAGCAGTAACCCGGATGGTGGGATGGATCACATGTGGTTTAGTTTATCACACTTCTGGACATGCAATGATCAAGCAGCCCTTCTGGTTCCGGAGACGATGATGGGTTTGGCTAAATGTTTGAGGACTGGCTACTTCTCAGCTCTTCGGGTCGTCAATACTCCCAGTTTGAATACTTTCCACTGTTTAGGTTACAGAAGTACTCCTTTGCAAGAAAAGCAGGTCATGGCTTTAGCCTCTGGTCCTCCATGTTGAGTGTCTGTTCTCAGAAAACCTCAAACATCTTCATTTTCTCTGCACTTTTTACAGCAAAGAAAAAGATGAAGTGATACAGTAGCACCTTCTGAGCGGAAGTGTACCTCAGAAAACAGGATCTGCCTGATCAAAGCAGAGCAGGAAGGATCAAAGGTTTACTCAGACTATAATTCAACATAAAGACAAATAACAGCTCTGTCATATCAGAAAGTTAGCAAAAGAGGCTTTAAGGTCAGAAAAATGCAGCTTTCAAAATAACAAGCTCTAAGCAGATATTAAACATTCTTTTTTTCAAATATGTACAGTAATCTTAACCGTTGGGTTTTTATTAGCGTTAAAATGATTCACTGAAATAAAAGAACTATAAAGCTAACTGTTATAATTATTCTATTAGCCGGTTATTAGATGATAAAAAATCAAAGGAAAAGTTCAGTCGTAGTCAAGATTCAAACGTCTGAAAGTTCTTTAAATCTGAAATGATTCCATCCTGTTCAGTAAATGATCAGTGTTTTTAATTCAGAGTAATTTTCATGTGAATGTGCTTTACTGGAGGCATCCATGTTTGTCAAAGAACACTACTGCCACCTACTGGTTTGTGACGTCACGGTGCGGTATCGGCTGTTGATCAAGTCCCAGTGCTGTATCTGGTGTTTGTCACAACGCGCTATTATCCAAGTCATCTTGAAATCATTCTTCTTCCAAATGTTGGCTACATATTATGTGTTTTTTCTCTGGCCAGAAGTTCGATGGCAAATCCTCCCTCTTCAAGTTGGCGATCCAACGACCAACCCGTCCGTGGAGGATCAGGAATCAGAAAGGTGGAATAACTTTTTTTTTTCACTTTTACCCGATGTATTCCAGCATCCAGCTGCCATGCACGTGGGCATTGTCAGTTTCACTGCAAAAATGGCCGCTGCAGACTCAGTGATCGCGATGAAAATTATTATTTTTAGTTTTTTACTGATTAATGCTAAATTCATTAAATCACTGTGAATGTATTATTTTTACGTATAAATAATGATCCAATAATTATTCCTCGCTGACTGACTTTTAATTTAAACTCTCCTCAATTAAAGCACTTGGGATGAGTTTCATTATAAATAGCTGACCTACATTATGAACAGGACAAAAAAACATGATTAGTTGTAGAACATCAGAAAGCTGTTATAGAGAACAAAAAATCTTACTCAAATTTCAGGACTGACAATAATTCCCTTATGATGAACCATTTACCTAAATTCCTTTTAAAGGAGATCTTCTGAATTCCCTCCCAGGGCAGAGAGAAATCTTGGTGACAGTCAGAGGTCACCTGGTGTTTCCTGACCTTTTACTTTCCACGCACCTTGCTCCTCTGCTCCTCAACTAAAATGTTGAGCAACGCTTTGAGGAAAATCCTG